GCCAAGCAGCGCAGCGGAGAGAGCGAAAAACCGTCGCGATCGAGCCCCAAAAAAGAATTGAAAGCTGCGGCGCGTCGAGCTCCGCCGACGGCTGCGAGACCCGCGGTTAGAGATGGGAGCAGCAGGCGATGTTTTCACCGTGACACGAGATCGCTTGTGACCACGTGTGCTTACATTAAATATTCCTTTTTTTTGCGGCTAACTGGCATTAATAGAAGTTTATTAAAAATATGTGAAACACAAACAAAAACAAATGCTTAGTCGAGTAATGAATATAAATGTAAATGTTATTACAGGAAACGTTTTTTAAAGAAACTACTTTTAGACCAAATGTTTGTAGCCTACTGAAGCAAACACCAATTAAAAACTAATCGTGCTGAGGCACGTGTTCATCACTAGTCCCGATCTTCGCCCGCGAAGACGTCGGCAGCGCTGCTTCAAACATGTTGCAACGACCGACGCTGTTGCGTTGCCACTTTTGCCGATACGTTAACGTGTGATTTGATTTTTAACAGTGACACATTCCTTTGTCGCGTATATTGTAACGGTTTCTCGGTTTCCTTCTTCTGCCGTTGCTGCTCTGCCCGTTCTCTGCCACGCTAGTGCTCCTATCAATTAGCGGCCCCTCGCCCCTTTAAACCCCCTTTATGCGTCCACTACACTGCTTCCCGCCTCATTTTACTTTTAGTGGCTTTCATTGATTAATCAAATTGAAATTGAGCTACAAAAAAGAGGGGCTTGAAAATCTTAAAAGACGAAAATGCTTTTTGTTTTCTTCTACTTTTATACATTGAATAAAGGCATTTTTATCGTTTTAAAAACCTGAATTTTTACTCAAGAAATAAAATATATTGGCGGGATTTAAATTTTAAGCATGAACTGAAAAAATCCATTCAAGATCTAAACTTGTACATGTCAAATCTTAACTGCTGAGATAAATTTAAACGAAAACCAAACTAAATTGTTTTTATATTCTCCTGGTAGTTAGTTTACATGTTTTAAAAGTTAAATTTAAAAGTGTCAATGTTATAGTTTCAGCTAAAAGTTAACTTAACCACAAAAGTGAACAGCAGATTACATCTTTTTTATAGCATCAAAAGCCTTTTACTTCTGAAGTTTTTTTTGTTAGTGTTTTTAAAATTAAACCAAATTTTAATTGCATTTCGTTTTGGTTAGGTTCAGCAGACACCTGTTACCTTGGCGACTTTGAGTTTCGATGGGCCCGTGTGGATTATAAAATCATGACATGAAGTTTAGCTTCCGTCAACGATTACAGAATTCTTAGAGATCTTTTTTTGGCTGCGACTTTCATTAACACATTTCGTTTGGCATTGCCTAATTTCAATGTTAATCAATTGTGGAAAATTAGCTTAATTGCCTTTAATTTTTGGGCATACAACAAATCAGTGAGTCAGCAATCGAGACACGTGTAAAAGTTCTGGAAGCCGGGCTTTGATTCGCGCGTTTATTTCATTAATTATTTTTCCTGAGAGCTGGGTGAATGATCGGATCCGTCGGTGCTGGAAATGTGTGAAACACGCGTAAAGCCCGGTTAGGTGTTAAAAATATCGGTTGGCTCCCGATCGGCGGCACACACGCACTCGTCACGAACGGGAATTCATTAGAACTTATTAGGAATTTCTCTTAACACTTGACCGACTTTCGGAGGTTGCACTTGTCCGCTCCTCTTGACTTTTGATTTCCTCAAGGGTTCTGGTTTTTTCTTTTGGTTTATTTAGGCTCTTTTCTGATTTCCATTTTCTTTGTGTTTTTTTTCTACTTTTTATTTATATTTTCCTGGAACTACGTCCACTGGCGCACGAAGCCCACGATCAACTGTATTCATAATAACGTTCAGATTTGGGGAAACTATATCTTCGTTTTTTCTCTGCTCGGAGCTCCGTCGGCGTTATGTTAGGTGTTCGACGTCGCTAACATACCGCTGTTAGTTCATTGAGAGCGAACCTCAGAGAGTCGTACTGACGTTCAGATTTTGTGGAATTATATGGACATTTTCTAGATTTAGCGATGTTACGTCGAAACGTCGACAGCGCGACGTCAAACTTGTTGCTTTGCGCACAGCTGTTTCCCCGTCTCTCTCTCTCCTGCTCGCTCTTTCATGACGCTGGGCTTGTTATTTGTTGTCGCATTTCTATTAGCCATTGCCGGTTGTTGGCGCCATCTCTCTCTCATTCATAGCTCGCTGGCCTGTTGCGCCTAATACTGTTGGCATCTCGCTCGCACCGAACATGTTGCAACCGCATGGTCTTCGGTACTCAGTCATGTTGCCTTACGTGTTTGAATGGTTACGTTACTCCTGAAATATACATACATACGTAAAAAAAAATCAGATTTGTGTTGGTTATATATATATTTTTTTTAAATAATTCTGGCTTGGCTTTATTTCTTATTTTTTGGTCATAATGTAATTTTTGTTTTGCCTTTCCCCTCACTTCTGGGAGGCTGTCCTAAAATGGACATGTTCACTCAATTAATAAGAGTGCGGCCAAAAGCAGCGAATCGGCAGAGCAACTAGCACCCTGCACCAAAAAATGTGATTTATTTAGTGCGTTCTTAAATTGTATGGGTATAAATTTAATATCAAGAAATAGTTCCATAGGGACATCTTTTAGCCAAATCTGCCTTTTTGAATATTTTATAAATAATATTTAAGAACCTTTATATATTAAAACATTATAGTTTTCAATAGTTGATATATAAATTTAATTTTAATTAATTTTCGTAATCCTGCTTTATTTGATGATATTACGTTCTTTACAATAAATATTAATTTATTGTATGAAAAATAACACTTAAAACGCAGTTCCTAGATTATTCATTTGGTTGTCAGGATTAATGCCAACGTCTTCTCAGAATGTATGTGTGTACATACATATGGACATATGTAGAGAGTAATTATATGCATATTGGCCGCACAGTAGGGGTCTTTCAGTGTCAACTGCAGCCGCACTCACAATTGTCTGGCCCAAAAAGCTTTCGGGATTTCCAGTGCTTCATTTCATTTTTTGTTTGGGGTTATTCTTGTCTTTCCCGTTTAATGTACATACATCGGGCCGAATCTCTTTTACTCCCGGGTGCAGTGTTCTCCGGAAGGGAACGAGCCCTACCTGCTCAAGCTTCTCGAGTCCATGTCCGATCCCGATCCCATGCCCATTCCCATACCCATACCCGAACCCAAGCTCGTGGGGAGATCTGGTTTTCAATTTTTCTTGTATTCCGTTTTCTTCGCTTTATAATTTTAAAACTTTTTTTCACTCGGGTTGAAGGACCCAAACGAAACCCTTTTCCTGTTTTTTCGGGCAGATTTGTACGCCGGCGGCGGCTAATTAAAAAAACCAAGAAAAAGTCCAGCAGGGGGAACAACAATCGAATGAAAACCAGAAATATGCTGGCAAAAGATATCACTCCAGATCTGACGTGTGTTTATGTGGGTCACTTTTGCGAGAAGACAAATGAAGTGCACATTGACGTGTCATTTATTTATGGTCAAAAACGAGACAATTTCGACGCAAAAGGATTATGTGTAAATACTAAGGAAGATTAAATTTATAAAGACTCTTTGACAAATTTGGAGGCGGTATGTGTTGATTTTAGGTATAAATAGTTGCTTATTGTACCTTCTTTTTGCAGCTTTATGAAGGCACTCGAGCAGAAGCAACTAAACATCTAGACAGTCATAAAATCGGTCGGAAATTTTGACGCGATGTTAAAAGAAGGAAGGAAAAAAAAATTAAAAACGAAAGTTTTAAATTTAATTTTAATTTTAAATTTAACGATCTAATTTTGTGCCAGTAATGTTAATACTAATTGCTTAAGGAGCTGCAGAGAGTCAGAAGAGGATAATAAAGAAAAAAGTGTTTTGTAGTCTGAAAGACGTTATAATTAGATCTACAATGATTGGAAACTAAAGGAACATAATTCCTAGTTAATCTACTTAGTACCGAAAAATTTAGTCTACTCAACAAGTAAGGACTGTCAATTTCACCACGTAAAAGGTTATGAATAAATACAGTACCAAGCATCGTTCTACAATTATTAAGGGAGGGCGAGTAGATGAGGAGCAATCTATGAGAATAGGAGGGTAGGAATAGGTTTGCATTCCAGGATTGGCCGGACCAACGATATAAATAAAGTCTTGGTAACGTAGGGATCCTCAAATTCCTTCGACCATCGTTTAATAAATCCAAGCATTCCCCTAGCTTTATTAACCATGTTCGAAATATGAAGAGAGAATTTAAGTTTAGGGTCCAAGAGGACTCCAAGATCGTCAACAAGCGTTATTCTTTCCTAGGTATTACCACTTAACAAACAAAACGAAATACGCCTGTTTGTCTGTCCATCTGTTTATTTAAACAGGCTTTTTAGTTTTAAAGCTATCTTGTTGAAATTTTACCAAAAGTTGTGTAGTTATTGCATGCAGTATATAAGTCGAAGCGGGCCGGATAAATTAAATTTTATTAAAATCGGATAACCCTATCATATAGCTGCCATAAGAAAGATCGAAAAATCTACATAGAATTAACGGAAATTAAGGGAAAAAATGATAACATTGTTGATTTTCACCAGAAAAGCTAAATTTTTTAAATACAGATTTTTTTTAATGACTCTTGAATTTCAAATGAAATTTCATAAAAATCGGACAACCATATCATATACATAGCTTTCATATGAACAATTGTCGAAAATATAGAAGCTTAATAGAAAAATCGGCATAGCTTTGATGTTGTTTAGCCTTTATGTATTTTGTTCGACATAATTGATGACTGCAATATATCGGCGAGCCGAAGCTAGCTTTCTTTCTTGTTAAACTTTTTTCACTCGGCTTGAAGGACCCTAACGAAACCCTTTTACCGTTTTACGACCAGATTTGTACGCCGGTGACGGCTAATTAAAAAAAACTAGAAATATGCTAGCAAAATATATCACTCCAGATAAGGCGTGTGTATATGTGGGTCACTTTTGCGAGAAGACAAATGAAGTGCACATTGACGTGTAATTTATTTATGGTCGAAAATAAGCAATTTCGAGGAAAAATAATTATAAATACTAAGAGAGATTAAACTTATAAAGACTCTTCGCCAAATTTGGAGATGGGAGATCCTCCTCCAAATTTAATATTTTCATCTCCCCCAACAATTTCAAATTCATCTTGTTGGGAGCTTTCTTTTGACTTTTTACGGTCAGCTTCTTCAGTGCGTGGTTGTGGAGCTCTGCCTTTAGTTCCTTTAGTGCGGAATTTTGGAGCTCTCTGCGCAGGCTCTCCTTCTCCTTCTGCTGGAGCCTCACCTTCGCCACCTTCGCCACCTTCGCCACCTTTGCATTCCTTCCAAGCCGCACAGATCCAACAGCACTCCGGAAAATCTACCTCCGTCAAAACAGCAGTCTCAGCACACTCCGCAAATTTAGCCGGTATTTGGCAGCTAAAGATGTTTAGAAATGACATTAAATAACTCCATATAATAAACAAAAATTAAAAACATTTTCACATACTAAATTGAAAATGGGACTTTTGTTATGATAAGTTCATTTGGATACTTAGTTCTAGTTGAATTCGTATCTAAACAAAAATGTTTTGAACTATCAACTTAACCAGTGAGTCTTTTAAAAAGATTTAAAGATTTCAAGAATGGTATTCCCGCTATTTTTGTGTTGATATAAGTTGAAAACTTTTTACACTTACAAGTGAACGAAGGCATCTCCTTCTGTGCTGTGGCACGAAATAGCTCCACAGGATTTGTCATCCTGTTCAGTATCACCCACAGCCATTTCAGCACCTTTGGGAGATTTGCAACCGTTCGCTGAAAGAAATCTTAAGGTGCTGCGGTGATTTTAGGTATATATATTTCCTTTTTATACCTCCTTTTTCCAGCTTTATGTAGTGCACCAAGGCACTCGAGCAGGAGCAACTGAACATCCAGACAGTCACTATTAGGAGGTTCTTCATCTCAGTTGGAGTGTTGGAATCAGTTTGGGATCTACTCCCTATATCTGGGCCTTTTATAGGACTTACATTGTGACACCCGATCCCATGTACGTACACCTGCCTCGTTTGGAGCTTAATGGAACTTAATGTTTACCGCTTCTATAATACAATGTTTATGTCTTGGGAAAGGGAACGGAGGATCATTTTTAATACATCGGAAAGTATGGTAAGGGAAATAAACAAAGTCAGATTGTAAAAAAATGTATATATAACTATAAGAAACGATAACCGCTTAAGCAAAAACTAACTTCGGTAATTTTTAAATCATAGTAAGTAATTGCCTGTCAACAGGAATAAAAAACTTTTCTCAGCACGTTATGATTTTTATACTTTTACGATTCTTTGTACAAATGTGCTGTTACAAAATCTAATTTAAAGGTTTTTTAAGTGCCCATGACTAATGAGAAAGCCTTCTCCAAGTTTGGCAACACTTTTCAAAAATACAAAAACAAATAAAATAGAAAATAAAATATAAGAATTAAAATATAAGAAATTTAATAAATATAATAGGATACCAGGGCGTTTCCAGCCCTCTGTTTGGCCTCCACCGCGGCACAGGCTGCTTTGTAGGCTGCTGTCTTAGTTTTCTCGTAATCGTCGTGGGCCGCCACCAATTGTTTTTGCAGCGTGGCCATCCGGTTGCGGGCGGCCTCCAGGAGTTGCGTTTTGGCCGCTAATTCCTGCTGGGATCCCAGGGCCACCGCTTGAATGTTTGCCAGGGCCTCTCTGGAGTTCTTCTGCAACTCATTGATGGTCTCGAACTGCTGGGTAGCCGCTTTGGCCGCCTCCACGGCGGCATTCATGTTGGCCTCCGTGTGGTGGATGGCGTTGGTCTCCTCCTCCACCACGGCGCTGGCCTCCTGGACCTCCTGCTCCAGCTGGTCCACCATCATCTGCTTGCCCATCAGTGCAGCCTCGGCTGCCTTGGCCGACTGGAAGGCCTTCTCTGCCAGCTCCAACTTAATGTGGTGGGCTGCAGCCTGGCCAGCCGCCGCTTGGGCCTCACTGGCCGCCTTGGCATCCTGGGCAGCTTTCATGGCTATCGCAGAGGACTTCTGCTTGGGATCTCCTGGCGTGATCACTGCCTTTGCATTGCATTTGGCGTTTGGCTCGCCTTGGCCTTGACATTCCTTTTGGGAGGAATTTTTGCTCCCCGGTTCTCCAGTTCCTCCTCCGGTTCCAGCTCCTCCTGCTCCGTTACCAGCTCCCGAACCCGCTCCTGACCCCGCTCCTCCGACATCATAACGCACATCTGCCTGATCGACTGATCTCACAGATTTTTTGACAGCAGCTACTCCGACTTCGGTTCCCTTAATGGCTGCAAAATCATTCAGGAGCATTCGCGGATTGACCATTCGCTTGTGGAGTTGCCTCTGTGGTTGGAAGGCCAAATCAAGTTAAGATTTTGCAGATCTATTGGATCACTTGCCTTGACCAGGATGTGACTGGAGGTGCAGTGAAAGAGCAGGCGGAGGAGCAGCAAGTACATGGCCAAATATCCTCGCATTCGCATAAAGACAGATGGGCAAAGTATATGTATTCGCTATTGACTTTTTTTAATATCTGTATTGAATTTTATCCCAAAGGTATCTTATTGTAGACATGTCAACTTGTATTTTTGGTTGTATAGGTTGTATAGAAAATCTTCATAATGTTTTTAAGGAATCGTACTGTCGGCGAAAGTTGCAAGGAGAACTTAGGCATAGATTTGAAGGTGGGAGAAAGAAAAATTTGGAAGGAAACTGGAAAGGAAGGAAAGAAAGACAAAAAGAAAAGCCAAGAGGAAAATAACATACAAATATAAACTTTTATTGTTTTCTATGTTAACAACATCAGTAGCCATGAGAGTTTCATTGCTAAATATATTCACTCAGAAATACATTCGATTTAATTTCATTTGCATCTGTTGGATTTAGAGTAACGCCTATCTATTATATCCGTGTAAAATCTGGATCCCAAAAGCTTCCATCTCCACCACAGCCCCAAATATTCGTACTCCCCCGCATTCCGCCACTCAAGATCCGCCTGATCCGTCTATCTCTTGCATCTCACGGATACTAGATGCATTCTAAAGTGTCTGCGTGTGATGAGCACGCGGCATTTACGCGGCATATAGACCCGGACCCATAACAAAGAGAGCAGCGAATAGAATATAGAATGCGAGAAAAAGGCGAAGCACGAGGAGGAATCAAACCATATAGACACGAATTGCTGCAAAAATGCCAGCTATGCTAGAAGTAAATGCTAAATGCAAACTGACGGCTAGACAGAGGTGGACACAAACGAATACGGACGGACTGACGGACCAACGGACGGACGGACACGGGAGACACACTCGCGGACAAGCGGACGGACAGAGAGCAAAAATAGTTTTGGGAGCGCCATTTAAGAGGGAAAGGGAACGTCTCCGACGCCGCCGATTTTTGGTTCACATTGTCTCCTCGGCAAAATGTCAGTCTTAAAAATAAAAGTTAAGTGCAACGCCAAGAACGTATACATTAACAAAGTTCAGTAAAGTTAAAAACAAACAAATTAATTAGATTAGAAGACTAAACATTCTTTTATATTTTGATTTATAAACCATTTACAGATAATGGCAAGATTGAAATCTCAGGAAAAATTATATTACATATATGTATATATTAATCATAATTAACAATTTAAATAATCACTTAATATAATTATAAAATTTGTGAGTCCTTAAAAGAATTAATTTTAAATTTATTTAAGCCGTAAGGCTGATAAGAAATAAATTGGCTTAACCAACTGAAATGTAATGGTTATAGAACTGAAAATTTTAAAGACCCCGAACCCTATTAAATCGAAAAGCAATAATTGTAATCTGAAGTATTAAACTTATTAACTGTAATCTAAAATATTTCATTTATAGTTTCTGGTACGTGAATTAGTTGCATTTTTAGCCCAAAGTTCAGCGGGGTTCAAGAATAGGCAACATCTCACTTTTGATGGGTTTCATGCGCTCAAAACATGCCCGTTTTGGGCAAGGGAAGGGTCGAGGATCGGAGGCTGTCAGAGATTAGAGGCTGTACTGTTTGGCAACGGCTGATAGCGTTTGAAATCGTCGCTTGTCAGGCGGTTCGATTGCATAAGTCACCACAGTGCCCAACTGTGTCAAATGGCACATAAAGATTTCGATTCTGTCGAATGAAAAATAACACCAACTTGCATTGGGAGTATTTAGGGCTCGATAACATTCACGCCGAGGTCACGTCGACTACTCTCAACTGATAACTCTCCGGCTGATTCCGAATCGGGTCCGACCATTTATTTTAATGCCCTATTAAAATAGAATTTTGAAATGTGATTACGCGTTTTCAAAATTCAATTTGCTTATCACCTCGTAATATGACTGTTGCCGAGAGCGCGTAGTATTTGCTGGGTCAAAGGTCACGTTCCCCTCCCTCAGTCGTGAACCTTCAACCCCTGCCAGTCGCAATCGACTGCAGAGATAATGGGCAGTATAATGGGCCTGATTAGCCCGAATCGGGAGAACGGTTTCGGCTTTCAATTGAGTGGAACGAACAGTTCCGCAGCCACGGTTTCCAATGCATCCCGACCAAACGCATCGAAATATTTTTGGGTGAATAGGGGAAGATATTTCAAGTTTGGATCCTTTGGCGATATGAGTTAAAATGAAATTTGAGAACTGTGGAACCAAAACACTAAGAACAGAATGAATTTTGCTAGAAAATTTACCCTTTCAAACATTCAAAACTATTTTTGTATACTACATACAAACACTAAATGAAATACTTATTTATTTATTGTATTCCTGGTTAGCTTCTCAAATATGTAACCCCATCAACTAAATGACTTGTGTCGAGTGCAGTTACTTGCACAGAATTCTCCCTGTCCACATTTCAAGCCCATTATTATAATGCAATCAATATTCCTATAAGAAAACGCTCCAATTATATGATGTCACAGAGAATCTTGATCTTGGACTCAACCTGCTGCGCCACCCAGTCAAGTTGGTCGGACCAGATTTTTCTCGACCACTTCAACTTCAACTAAACCTGGATCTGCCTCAGTTTGCCTCTCTTTCTCGCAAGTAACGGTCGGGTGACAAGCGTAACGAGATGAACAGCAGAGGATGCTGGGGAACCGATTTTAATTACACGTAATCTTTATAAATAGAAGCGGCAGGCAGAAGCCAATAACCGGCGAAGATCCTGGGCCATCCAATAAAAAGTGCAGCACACGAACCCACTGCCAGTCGAATGCATAAATCAATAGGTGCACATATAAAAATTGAAGATGACTTTAGATAGTTGTGCTATTATTATTTTAAATGAAAAGGGGAATAATAAAAATATATCAGGTATTAAGATATTTTGTTTAATGGTTGGACTAAGGTTATAAATTAGATTTCACTTGGTTTTTCTTTTGAATATGTATTGGATCAGCTCAAATCGCTTGTAATATTCACTAAGTTACAAGGCACATGAAATAAATATTAAATAAATAAATTAACTGTATAAATGTTTTTTTGGCTTGACTTTTTCGCAGTGATTGAACTGTGGATGGCAGCAAACACAGATACCAAGCTCACACAGAAGCCGAGAGCGAGAAATGCCGGGACAAGCCATAAATGAGTAATTGCTGACAACGCCGCAGACCTTGTCCAGTAGCCTTGGCTTGGACCTTCTCGGTCGGCCTTCTATGATGGGTCCAGTGCCATTTTGAGCCAGGACCACAGCCCATAAATGTACGCCTAGATAAACAAAATCCAAAATGAACTAAGAATCAAAGGTGGCCTAAAGTCGAATTACAAATACCTTGAAAGTAGAAGGTTCTTAGCTCAATAACTTATCAAGTTAGTTATGATCATTTTAGTCTCTAATAATTTTACTTGAAAAGACTTTTTGTGTCTGATAACTATTGAGTGAGCAGTTTGTTAATAATATTTAATTCCACTTACTTTATTTAAACTAACCAAGAATATTGATTTTTAAAACCATTAAATGCTATTGCTCTGCAGGCCACTTTACAATGTTAGCTAATTCATGGACTTGACCAACAATGTGCTCATCAAGTGGCAACAAACATGCATAATCCCGGCGAGGGTATGGCAATGTAAACATGGCTGGAGTGGAGAAAAGATGAGTATGCCAGGTATTCAATTACATTGCCCATGTCCCCCACTTTTGGCCCCGTCATGATCTCCCCACCTCCTCCGCCTGCTCCGCCACCTCCTGCTCCTCCTCCTTCATTCCGCGTCATTCCGAGCCAAACGAAAAGTTCTGCAGAAAAATACTTGGAGTTATGGAGTTTTTGGAGTCGGCTTCCAGGTAAAGATGCCACCGACTCCAGCTCGAATGCATGCCTCTCTAACGGTTTGGGCATTGCGTTAATGATACTTGTTTGTATCGCCGTTCGCATTCGTATTCGTTTTCCCATTCGCATTCGTATTTGTATTCGTATTCGTATTCATATCTGTATCTGGCTTTTGTCTGGTTCTGCGATGCACACGCCTCATGTTGACAAACTCACTTTACAAACAGTAATTTTTCTCGCTTCATTGGCGTCCCGTCTCGTCTGGAAAACCCCATTGCCCCCCGAAAAGCCGCGTCTATTATGTTTTTTTTTTCGTTCCGTGGTAAGAAGAAGCCTGTAAAGCGAGCGTGCATGTGGTTTGTTGGCCGACTCAAGTCTGCTGCCGCTCGCTGCCAGTTAAACAAATAGAAAATGAAAAGCACAACTAAAAATATTGTTCGAAAGCCGCAGCGGCGGCAAAAACCTACTCGTACCCGCACTTGGCATTTTCATTGTCGCTGACCGATTGTTCCATGTTTGACTTGCTCTACAGTTCGATGGCCAAACGGATCGAGGGGATCAATGGGTGCGGCCCACTCCAAAAGAACACCAATAAAAACTATAAAATAATTGAATTACACCTGGTTGGAGCTCCAAACATATACACTTCTCGGTTTCTTGCCTTCAATTATTGTTTAATCTCGTTTGTGTTGGTATAAGAAAATAGAGTAAGTTGATCGCTAAATGGCTTTGCAAATAAATTGTTTTCTTCAAAAATAATAGGAAAAACTGAAACAGGAGAGATGATTGTTTCTTTTGAGTGTTTGTTTGTTTTTGCATTTGCCTATTTTATTTATTTTTTTTTTTTTGTTTAAAGTGTGAGTATGTCAGCCGAGGCGGCTGCAAAATCTAGAAAATTACATGCAAGCTGCGACACATTATGCGCGACGCGACAATAATATTTCTATTGGCGAAAAACTTCACACTTAATGTACTCTGCAAAGAGTGGATGAAAATAATTATACAGAAACAATGTTCTAGATACTCTACTTTATAAGTTCAACAACAGTTCAATAAGATGTGATTTCTTAGTTTTACTAAATATCTACAATAATAGAATTTTTCTTACCTAGTTGTAATGATACATTTCTCTTAATTAATATCTGAGGGTTATCGTCAAATGAGACTTAGGATTGGTCTGAAATGAAAAGAAATAATAATAACAATGAATATTTAATAGATACTTTTATATTTAAAGATTTAAGGAACTACAATTTGTATCCAGTTTACCAAAATGTTATTTCATGATGTTATATTATTTTTAAAAATTGTTTTGAAGTTAGTATTAGTATTTTAACAAAAATCTTAATTCAGGAGTTTCTATTCCAAGTAAGAAAATGAAAATGCCATTTGACAGTGTGCTTAAGGAAAAGGAACATAAAAAAATATGGAGCATGCCAAAGTCTAACAGAGAAAACCTCGAAAGTAGTTGCATGTGTGGCACACCCCGGGTTTTTTGGCCTTCTGGGGTGCAGGAGGAGTGGTCCGGGGCGGGTGGAGGCGGAGGAGGAGGATGTGGAGCAGGGGGCGGGGCCAGCCAGCAGACGGAGACGCCGACTAGTCAACGCTTTAAGGAATATGCCAGCAAATAATTAAAACATATTTAAAAATAGTTTGCCATATGGATGACGACTGCGACTGCGACGACGACGAGGAGGTTGAAGATGCTGCCCGGCTGGGTGACGTGGTCAGACCGCCTAGCCCCCTCCCCCTGGCACCCCCTCTTGGCAACCCACCCACCCCGCCGATGACAAAGCCAACAAAAAGCAAACAAATATTTGTCTGGCCGTCTACGTAGCTGTGCATTGACCGTACCGCACTTACTACAGACACGCAGATACGCGTACTCGCAGATGCAGATACTAGTACTCGCAGATGCGTCTGAATCCTAACCAGCTATCTGGGTGTATCCAAATGTCCCATCCGCTCTCTTTTGTTCTCCCTCGTGCCAAGTTCAAAATTGTGTGCTCCGCTCTTTCTGCTTTCCCCCCCTTTTTTTTTACGTTTATTTCTCATTTTCCAAAATAAAACAACACGAAAATCAAAAACATTTTCAATTTGTAGTTTTTTGGACAAAAATAGTTGCGCCAGTCGAGCGCTAATGTTATTGCTTTAGTCAAAGTGGCTAAAAAGTATCTGCCAACATGACTGTCTGTCTTCTGTATCTGTAAGTGTATCTTTTAATGTATCTGTATCTCTCGCCGTGTGTATCCGTGCATCTATGTCCAATTTTTTCCTGTTGCGATGCCGCGCGTAGATTTATTTTCATTTTGATTATATTTTTGGCACTTTTTGTTTGGGCGTGCGAAAAAACTTACAAATGAAAACTGTAATATTTTCGACAGCAAACAAATTCCCGCTGTCTGTGTAAAGTTTGTTGGATCATTTATTAAAAGACGCTGAGATCTGAACCAAACACGAACATTTTATTTTAATTGTCAAGAAACTAGTCTGAATTCGGGTAAACAACCTTTAAAATACTTGGTTTACCTTTTAAATCTCAAAATCATTGTTTCTTTATATAATTTTACCAGCTTTTTAAGAAGTTTTCTAAAATAAATGATTTTAATTTGTTTATATCAATTGAAAATTTAATTGGATTATTTTTGTGTCTTATGATGTGTTGCAAAAAAGGAACATTATTTTTGTCCAGCTTCAGTATTATTGTTATAATAAATGTATTTGTAAAATATAAGCTATATAGATGTGTGATTTCTGTATGTTTTGTTAGATTAGAATTAACTTTTAGCGATCGTTAGCGCTTACCAACTTATAATTACATTTGTGAAGTATAAGCTAAACATCTGTATAATTTCTGTTTGTTTTATTAGATTTTCAGTGAACACTGGCACTTGACAATTTTATAAATAAAATTCGTATTGAAATTTAGAACAATAAATTAAACATAGTCAATGTCAAATTTAATTCGTTGGCAATATAAACTCACTTAGCTTCGGTTTGTAGTTAATCAATGTCAACCAGCTAATGCCATCGATCAACTATACTTACTAACCACTAAGTGAAAAACATACCCCGCCCATAGAATCCGCACTTTGTGCTGCACTTTGGCGGAAATTCATTTTGAAAACATGCGGCGGCGACATTTGGCGCCACCTCAAATCCGCCCCCCTCCCCTCCCCACCGAGTCGTTCAAAAAGGGGCGTGGATCAAAGGGGATGAAAGGGGGAGATTGACGGCTGCTGCTGCTGCTGCTTTTGAGTATTCGCCGAGCGTAGCGCAAATCGCGGCACTGTGTAATGGCTAATAAATTACTCAGACAACGCAGAATTACAAATCGTTTTGATTAGCAATTAAAAGTACAAAACAAAAAAAAAAAAATTAATAAATAAAAGCAAAGCGAAAATAAATAGAAAAGCAAACCAGCTGAGTCGAAGAATAAAGCCGAGTGCATCTGGGCCAGGCAGCCGGCAAATCTCTTAATTACTTGGCAGTTTGCACTCGTCGTCGTCGCTCGCTTTCGATGGCAACAGGTGCTCTCGGCGGCAGCGCTTATTAACTCATTATAAAAGCATTTCAGAGCGGTTCGATTTGCTTTTGCTGAAAAGCATTTCAATTGCCTCCGACACTCGCACATTTCGAAATGCGTGCTCGCTGTTATTGCCGATGTTGATTTTGTATGTTTTTTTTTTTTTTTGTTTTTGCTGCCGTGTCCGGCTGCTGCGACCTTCACTTGATCTGCCGCCAGGAAGGGTGACTCAAGCGGGCAAATAGAAATCACTTTTTCCTCCCCAATTAAAAAAATTTTAATCATTTCAATTAACACCAAATCACCAGCGTTTCAAAGCATCTCGACCCGATTTTGCAATAAAAAAGGGTGTACTAAAATGATATAGATATGAACCAATAATGTACATAAATAAAATATCTATCATTTAATTATTCTCTGTGATCAAACTATTAAACCCATGTTCATTAGAACCGTCACTCCATTTGCAAAACGAATTTGTATTGGCTTAAATAGAAAGCAGCTTATTGGCATAATAACAATTTATTAAATCACTGTCTCTTCAGTCCGATTTTTCATCAAAAACTTGAACCAGATCTAATTAGAAATAACTTATAGTTTAATCAAATTAAAATCTATTAAAAAATTACCATTTTAACTTTCTTTCAATATAATTTCTTTAGTTTTTAATAACTATTAATCTTATCTCCACAATTAGAGATTTCTTAAAAGGACTATTTTAATTTAACGACCATTAGGCTGTTATCCGCTATTATTTGGTAGACATTTTAAACTTTTTATAGAAATATTTTATATTTATTTTAATAAAAAAATTCCTGCCACACTGACTCACCCCCGTTTATAAGTGTTTCTAGCTTTCTTTTGCTGCTTCTTGATCTTCTGCCTCATGCAAACACTTTGTGAGATGCAAATTTCATTTGCTAAATGATTTTGCCGGGACGGGCAGATATCTGGGAAACTTGTTTTGCGTGAGCATGCAATTAATGCCCGTCAGCCGTATATTCCATCTATCATAATTTTATTTAGTTAATGAGAATTTTTTCCAACGATTTCCCCCCGGAGGGAGTGCGATTCTCGAAGCGCATTGGCGATTCCACGCTTGTGTGGCTGTTGCAAATGTCACAAAAGTCAGCCTAGTCATGGGGATTAGACGGAATGAGCTGGGTTTGGTCTATAACGGAAGGCCCAGACCTTCTTGAAATTCCGTTGCAAACTGCAGTCAGTAATCGGTGTAACCCTAATCGTAAGGGCTGTGAATAATTCCGGGGAAAATTCCTGAGGGAAACTCAAGCCCAGTGGCTCCAATTACGCATCGATACTTCCGCAGCGAAAACGAAACGAAACGAAATTAAATTAAATTAGGTCCCAACACGAACGGTTCCCACCAACATTCTCGGATATAAATTTGTGGTGTACTGCATATTTCTACCATATGTATACATATGCGGACACAATTGACCGTCGAGCGATATGCGATCCACTTGTCATACTCCATACTTCTCGGTGAGCGGAGAAACTGCCGAGATCAGCTGATTTGCATTTGACGGCGGTCCCATCATGAATGGGGAGAACTTGATATGATATTTCGCCTTTAATTCCTTCACTTGAAAGTTGCCCATTGTCCGTCAATTGAGTCATCGCCATTATCCGTGCACCAGGGTCCAGAGGCCCGATAACAAACAAATAACAAAAGCATTTGGGGGCTACGCTGCGGTTACTGGATACCCAAGCGGATACACAATACCTCCAAACAGAACCGTGGAGAAGGGGAGAGGGGGGCGGGTGGCAGGAACTCGGCTCCCGACAAATGTTTCTCATAAACCACAATATGATATCTGCAAACAGAACATGAGAACTTGAACTTGAACGGCGAAGCAAATGTTGAGGCAAGAGTTCTTTATCAGCAGAATACGACATACTTCTTGTAACCAAGTTGAACTTTAATTAAATAGGAGAAATCAAACTAATTTGTATAATCTTAAATATCCCTGACCTAATAATCAAAATCAAATAAAGAAATAACACCCAAAGAATGCTTTTTTATGTATTTAATACTGTTAAGTTTTTATTAAAAATTCTGTTTTGGATTTCAAGCATTTTATTTAGACTCAAGGCAACTTGCTCATGAGTATGGGTTTGAAATATGTTTTTATTTTGGTCGGATCATAATGTTAACAGTTTTGTAGCTGTAAGAGAAGCCCTTCCACTCTCCCCAAACAATTCCAGAACCGAGAAGATCGGGATCGGTGTAGTTGCCACCCAGATAGGCACCATTCAGATTGCTGTAATATATTATAGTTGAGTATGGGGACCAGGATGTACCACGAAACTAGGATCCTTACCTGGAAAGGCAATCCTTGTACCACCAAGCTCCCTTGAACCTGGCGGCACAATTTGTGGTGCTATTGTCGTTATCCCGATCGAAGGTGCTGAAGGGCTGGCTCAGATGGTACTTCAGGCTGTCTCCAGCCGTTCCACTGTACACGCCCAGTTGAGTAATCGAGTAGTTACTGTACACGTTGCCCACATTGAACAGATCGTAGTGGGCGTATCGCTTTTCTCCCGCGAAGTCCACCATTTGGATGTAAAGTTCCTGAGGTTCGAGGGCTGCAATCTTGTTCAGGTTATTTAGACCGAGGAAGAAGTTTCCCTTGAGGTCACCAAATCCCGTCTGATAGGAAGTCCAGTTGCGGAAGAAGTTCTCTTCAACACTGACTCTCCGTTGAACGACCAACCATCCTTTTCCGGCGATTGTCACATCACAGTAGACCTCGATTATATCGCTTCCCACTTGGATCTTTTGAACACCACTCTTCTTGGGCTTCAACTCCTTGCAGGAGGAGGAGTACTTCTTGAAGGTCTGCACTCCCTCATATTCTCCAATTTCCGCACTGGCCAAATAAATTAAACACAGCGAAAACACGCAAAGCACAAGGCAAATGGGTTTCATTTTGCCGGTTCGAGCTTAAAATGATTTTCAATTGGCCAAGAGGGTTCTTTATATATTAGTTGCTTAATTCTTATCGAAATTTTAGTATTGCCTACTCCTGAAATGACGAAGACGGCAATTGATAAAGCCCTTCTTGATTAGATCGCTTGGCAAATCTGATAGAACCACATTTTGGCAATAGATAAGACTTTTCCATTAAAGTAGTTAGTCATTTCCTAGGGGGGACTTTTATTTCGCATGTACTCGTATTACCTGCAATCTTGAAATTTTGACAACAGTAAGAAAGGTTGTGGCAGGGGTAAGCCCCTTTTGGTTCTTACCACCTTATATTTAAAAGTTATTTAACAAGATGAGTGACATACTATAAGTCTTTCTATAAGAATCTTTAGTTGAATATGAAATCTCTTAGCGTTTATTGCCCTAATACTGTGTTAAAACATTGAGCACTATAACATTTCATAACACTTGTTATAAGAGTATCTTTTCAAACTATTAGCTTGTTTGATTGTCAAGTGCATATCTGTAAGCAAACTACAATTTTTTCTCGGAGATCGACTTCTGATATTGCCAGGGAATACCATACAGTGCATTGCAGACTCGGAAACACTTCGTCGGAGCGGTTCACAAATAGTTACGAACAATCCATTGCCGAAGGGCCACCCATTTCCTGTTTCTTGGCAGTTGGATGCACTTTGGACAAGTGTCAAAAGGTGTCACCGAAGGTGCTACCCCACTCCACCGAATTTTTCTTTTTACTTCTTTCCATTTGTTTTTGGTTTTTGACAACTTTTGGAATAATGTGACAGGGCCTGTCGGCTACCAAAGTTGGCTTTTTGTCTCACCTCCTCCGCCAGACAGCAACTACCATCGAGAGGTGACAACTCGAAAGACAGCAGAAACAAGAGCCACCTACAAAGGCACTCGAATACCCAACTCCCACTCCTACTGGTTCGGTTCCTACACCTATGTATATTCCGTACCCCCAGCCACCAACATATGCCACACCATTATTCCAAGCAAGCAACAAACAAACAAACAAATGAACAAATATTTGCCACAAAGAGCGAGGAAGACAAACGCAAGAGGAAGACGACTGGGAGCCTGAAGAACGATAAAATGGCATTTATGATAAATACATAATACTCCATGTTTACCCACTCATTCAGTAACACATAAAGTACATTGAGAAAAAAATATGTTTTATGGAATTGAATTCAATCCTCGTTGAGACTATTTTATAGTTTCATTTTGAAATATACATATTTTTTGATAGTGCTAAGGAAAACGATCAGTCTAATTCTAAGAAATGCCAAGAATTCTTGAAATGCGATTGCGCTTTTTCAAAGTATTTTACTACCTTATTGTCATTTTCAGTGCATGATAAATAGGCTATAGACGTGTTGTCTACGGCATTTGGCACAGCGATGAGGACTGGAGGCGAAAGAATGGGAATAGGAGTTGGGAACCAGAGAAACAGAACAGAATTCAAGTGTCAGAGTGACAGTTTCGAAATTGATTGCAGCGCGGAACAATTGTGTGTGCGTTTGGCTGATAAATAAGGCAGCTTAAAACCGCCTTAGCCGAGAGCCATTGGGGTTATCTATTAGAGCCAGAGATAGACACTCCGGATAGGAGACCCCTGTTGAGTTCTGTATCAATATCAACTTGTATAGATGATTGACAGGCGACACGTGGTCAGCTCCCTGGAGTTCATGCGCTTACGATTATCGCGATCACGTCGCTGCTCTGGCATAAACGATACTTGCCCCTAGGCCCAACATATAATATATACAAACATACCTAGCCCATTTTCAGTCCAGCCGATGACAACGGAATATAAATTAAGGCTGCAGAATTGCATAAATTCTTGGCATGCCTACGCGTATGAGAAATGAATCGATACCAATCAACCGGACCCAAAGTCAAGTAAACCCAGGCAAAGACCAAAAATTATTGGTAGTACGGGACGCCGCCTGTCAAATATCGCCAAACAAATTGACAACGAGGGGAGTGTGGAACTAACGAACCTCTCGAATGGCACAGAGCAGGAAAATAAAGGAAATTTATGGTCGGGTCTTACAAAGAGAGCACAAGGTGACCAAGGTTTGGCTGCCCCAAACACCTGGGAACTGTCCGAGTCTTGGGCTACATAGGAAAAAATGTTTCTAAGATTTGAATTGGTTCCGGAAACTGGAAAAAGGTTATTCAAATGTGGTTCAGAATAAATTCAAATATATGTAAAAAGGTTTTTTTGTGTAAGGTCCTTATGCGTACCTAATTTTATATGGCAAGTTTAAGTTTCAAGTGCTTTACTTTCATAAATCTAGAAGTCTTATCAAAATATTAGCAATATTAGTAGCAAATGATTTCTTTTTGCATAAGCAATTACAATTTACTGCACGAAGAAAAAACAGAAAACATAAATAGCTATTCAAGTTCAAGCCTTTATATTATAATTCCAATTTATGAGGAGTTATCGTTAAAACTTGTATACAGCGTATATCAAATAAATTTAAATTAAGCCTTTTTTCTATGGAACATATGTATTTTATTTTAATATACAATTTACATTATAGGGAATTGAGCATTTATTTCGCGCAGTGCCGGAGTAAATAAATGAAGTGCCATGTGAAAATACTTCACACGTGCTAGGGCAAAAAACACTCTGTGGGCACAATTTGTGATTGTGGTGCTCGGCTGGCTAGCTATGCTATATAGTACGATTGCCGGATTGCGGGATTGCGGGATTGCGGGATTGCTGGGCTGTTTAGTGGTTGTTGGGTTATTTGGTCTCCATTAGATACAAATCGGCGGTGCTGTTGCGGTTCATTAATTCCGCGGCGTTTGACAAATGCAGCGCCAGGAAACGACAACCAGAAAACCAAGGCGACCGATGGACTGATTTGAATACATCGCTGCCAACGTTGTGCGGGCCATTTGCATTTTTAAACGATTTTCTCATTTGGGTTCTTTGGTTTTCTGTTTTCGATGTATATTTTTTTTTTTTTTTTTTTTTTGCTTTTTGTGGCTTTTTGGGATTTCTTGTTACCGCTTCAATTATGTAAAGAGCGGTTGACTCTTTTTCGTTTGGGGTCGCCGCCTCTTGGGGACTGAACCCACCGCACAGTGATGATAAGGGGAATCGAGTAGGAGAAATGTACTCACATAACTGCACATGTTCCTCTTTTTCTGGCCACGCCCCGTACATAATTCCCGAATGCCTTGGATGAGCAGGGAAATATAAGAGGAAGACTCCCGAGGACACGGGGAGTATTTATTGGGGGCAGGGGCATGTTGTTTTGGTGGCCTGGATAGACCCCCAACACTTATGTATCTGCCCGGCAATGTACGAAAATTAATGTTGGCAATCTGTAAAATCCTGTAAAGCGTAACTCAAACTCGCCATTAAAAACAGCAGAGGAAAACACACGCGAATTAATAAGCAACGGGATGCCCACTGATGGGAACTTGGCCAATCGTATCGATGGCAACCAAGATGACCACGTTCTGGGTCTCCTTGTTCGCGATTAGCTGTTGGAGCCATCCAACTACCGCAATACAATAACTACCAATTCCTCATTAACCAGAGTGGTTCTTTATAAAAATGTATAACATTCTCTATCTTCTCCTCTTGGGTTAGAAATTGTAATTTACATATCTTATATCTTGCATAATTCAAAGGAGTTAATTTCTAAATCCCAAAGCTAGGCGGACCAGTGCCAGGCGGGTTTTTAAATGTTTTTTTGTTAGTTTAGTTTGGTTTGTTGCTAGGCATTATAATTACAATGTTGTATTTTCGTTAAAACGAATAACTGTATGCCCTAATAGGAAGTTAGTCAAAACAACTTCTAAATTTTAAGCGCAGGCTTGAATATTTTAATGGTAATTGAAATACTAACGTAATTTCAAATAATATAATATATATTTTTATTAGAGCATCGAAACGGCGTTGTTGACCGTCATCAAGATTTTCGAAAATTTTAATTAAAATTGTGGCCGCTGAAATTTGTGCGCGCTTCGGTGTGGAAGGAAGCCCCGTTCCATCGTTCTCCTGGCTAGCTCCCCCAATCCCCCACACTCCCCCTGCTGCCCCCGCAAGTGGCGGAGTGGCTGCTGTTGCAAGTTGCATGTTGCATGTGTTGCAGGTTTTACAAGACGGGCGACAACGCTTGTTCAACATGCCTGTTTCTCCTTTTCCTCATCTCGCACTCACACTCGCATCCCACCGAAATGATCGACGACGTTGCAAAGTATTAAAGTCAGCGCGACACAATCTGCATATTAAAGGAAAATGAAAAAAAAAATACAGCAACAGCAACTTGTTGCACAAATACCAATGAATGCACAAAGAGGTACAGTGGGACTTCGAGAATACAGAAGTTTGTAATACTTTTATTGGTAAAAATCCTTTGAAGCTCTTTCAGCATTTTCAGCTAATTATAAATTGAATTGAAATATAGAAAGGTTTAAATTAATTAGGTTTAATGAGTAATAAGCTGAGGTCCATCGGAACTTCGGTCCAATATTAATTTTCTTATTTTTCATATTTTTCAAAGGCTCCTATTGCAGTAAATACCATTCTAAACTTAGTAGAAGGTAAACTATAATTAGAAGTTTATTATGATATTATTATTTACATTTTAAATATTCGAATGAGTACTTTAGTTTTTATATTTCATTTTTTATTAAATTGTTTTTGGTTTTATGAATGCTAAACTGAAGCAGTTTAACCTACTGATTTCCACCTGTATTTGCTTGCGTTCAGAAATTAATACACGCCTGACGGGCTCACAATCAAACGAAACGGCCACTGCGAACCGGCCAAGACTGGACAAGATCGGATGGGTTGGGGGGATAGCAGGAGGGGAGATGGGAGGTGGTCTTGAGGGGGATTGCGGGGGACTGGACCCGGCCCAAACGGCTTGCAGGTGTTTGGCCCGGCCTAGAGAACCGGAAGAGACTGGCCTGGAGACAGGACATTGCTCTTGGGTCTCTTGGGGGCCCCAGCTGATGGGATTAGCTGTGAATTGTGCCAATTCATGCTGCAGCGCGCAATCCGCAGACATTTCATAAGCATTCCATTTGGTTTTATTTCACTTTTCCGCTGCTCACCACGTCTCATATGCATTC